TCCTTTTCATTTTTATGAATTGAAATATACTTTCAGCGTTGTAAAATACAAGTAACCTTAAGAACGGTCCTCCAATTTGATTAGACGATGTTACGGTTTCAATATGTATTTGCATAGAAATTAGGAGTTCCAATTTCATCTCAAAGATCTCTAATTTTTTACATGCATGAGAGCATGCATCTCCTTTCTTTTTTTTTTTTCTTTTTTTTTTTCTCTCTTTTTATAAAACCTTGATGGTATGAGGGAAATTTTATTAATATTGAAAAAATGTACACCTAATCAGGGGAAAACATAAACTTAGCCCCTTATAATACAAGAAAAAAAGGGATAAAAATACATGAAAAGAAGGGGGACATAAAACCCTACTCTTCTAGAAACAAAAACAACAAAGATACAAAGAAAAAATGAGGGGACATGAAATAGTAAACACCTCTATTGTATGTCAAAGAATTGCACACAAAATTTAGTTTTTTTTTTTTTTTCCATGCACATATAATTTCAAGTCACAATTCCGAAAAACTAAACCAAAATGGTAATTAAGCTTAATCTGTCATTCAGTAGCTTTGCAGGTTACTTTCGTAATCTACTTTCTGTCTTTTTGGGACTATTCTCTTGAGGAGAATGTACTTACCAGCTATTAGAAGCAAAGACGTCTGCATGCACATAAACTATTTGCTACGTTGACCAACTGGAGAAGACAAAAAGGGCTTGTAAAAGACAGCATGTTCATATCTTACAAGTACACATTTACCAGCTTATTGGAGAAAAGGGTCGAGAAGAAGGCCAATTCATCATTGGCTTTTAACTAGTACAGCATTTTGTATTATGTGGATTATGATCTTGATTAAGATCATGGTCTATCACTATCAGTTTATCAGAAAGTATATGAAATACTAGTTGCCAATTAGTCAGTCGGTGAAGTTTTCTTGGAAAACCATTTTTCATGAGTCGACAAAAAACTGTTTTATCTGAAAGAAAAATGTCATGACGTTTCACTGGAATATTATAATTCTGTAGAAAGATAAAATGAGTTAGCAAGATGTATGGGCAATGGAGAGTCAAGCAAGATATATATCTAGTGATTCAATTATTCCAAAGTACATAAAAATTTCTTTTGAGATGAAGTATATAAAAACTTAGATAATCGATGTGTTACCAAGATATATTTCCAAGTATATACATATACAGAAGTTAGATAGTAGATGTGTTACCAAGATAATATTTCCAAGTATAGGATCAGTTTAGTCATGTAGGTAAATGAAGTTAAGCCAAGGACAGAAGAAACTCGTGTTCCTTAAGAAAAAAGAAAAGTTACTTTTGGGTTGATTCAATACACAGTGATAGTGTAAAAAATCAATTGAATGACCAAAAAAAAGGTTGTTTAATGCACACCCCACAATATTTTGAATCCACCCCACATCCGAAAAATTCCTCGAAAATTCCAGCTTTGTCCCTCATATTTTTGAAGCCACCCCACCCCAAAAATAAAAAGAAACACCAAACATCTACATTCAACAAGCACCCATCCCTAAAACCCATCAACACAGTATCTCCGACCTCTCTCCTTCTCTCCCTAACACCCTGAGTCCCATCACCGAAACTCACCAAGCCCATTTCAAAAGAAAATATAAAAGAATGTAATAGTCCTTCACTTCAATTAAGCAACGAATATCCCCAAATTCTAGACGTGCATACTCGCAGAGAATTGTAGAAACATGCAATTACAAAATGAAAATTAAAAGTGCAGAAGCACAAATCAAATCAACAAGCACTAACTGTCCTGGCAATTGATACTAGATAACAATTACAAAGAATTCATACGAACAACAAGATGAACTTTAGAAAAGGTGGTGCCATGGTGAGTGGCTGTGTGTGAGGTGGTTGGTAGCCGGCAAATAATTGAATGGTTTTCTTTTTCTCACCTTAATTCAAATAGGGGTAAAAGAGGAAGTTCATGTGACAAATTTTAAGTGTAAGGTATCTTCATAAAATTGTGGAATGTTAATAAAGCTACCCAAAAAAAATCAAGCATAGTTGGTTTGATCCTAATAAAATATCTAAACTGTCAGCAACGGAATCACGTTTCACGTGCAGCAAAACAAAATTGCGTTTATAAGTAGGCAGAATTCCAATAAAAAGATGTTTTGAACACTAATTGAATGAAAAAGATTAAGCATGTGTGTTTTAATTCCGATAAGAGTGACATCTATTTGTGTTACAGGCTTGTAAATGAATATAACATAATTTATTAAAAGAAAACTAACGAAATTTTTTTTTAAAAAAATGACAAATAAAGGTGTAGTGAATAGTATTAAAGAAAGGTAAAATGTGATTTTTTTGTTAAATGTGATTTTTTGTTAAATGTGAATAAAATCAAGAGTATTTCGTTAAAACTCTCATTTATTAATGCCATGTTTTCTGACCATTTTATTGTTGAGGTATAAGAAAAGTACATGGAAGAAATGATGAATGAATAAGGATGCTGGGAGAAAGAGCAAAAAATAAAAAACAAAGAATAAAGGATGAAACCAAAATCTTGAACTAATAATAATTATTAAAATAGCAAATGACTTATAGTTCAGTTAATTAAAAGTATTCGCCCATGCGTTCAAGTTTCATGTTCAATCCTCTCCTTGTATGAATTAATGTAAACTATCCTATGATACAACAACTATTAAAATAGTTTTTTTGTTACTATTCCATTGATAACTATTCGATTCTCTCAAAGCAAAAAATTTAAAACTAAACCGTTATCAAAATGACACATAACAATATATAATAGGAGGGCAACCTACTTACTCACTTCAATATCTTCTTCACAAAAAAAAAAAAAAAAAAAAAAAAAAAATCAAATATCTTTGAACCTCTCTTTAATCTGCTATCATCATAGTTGTCGGGGCCGATGGCAGAACCTCCCTTCCTCTTCCTATCTCATCCTCTCCCCCTCTTCTCACAGATTTCCCTTCCTTTTCCCTCACATCTGCCCATCCTTACTGCTCTCGAGCCACCCTCTCTCTCTCTCGGACTACACATTGCATTATCTCTCTCCCGCCCTCTCGTTTTCTTTCTCCCACCATTTTGTGAGTAGTTTCTCATGGTTTTAAGCCTCATAACTAGAACTGAGCCATTCCATTTCAATGTCTCTTCTTTGATTATGGCTTGATTTGAGATTTAAAGTTGAATTTGTGGCTGCTAGTGGGTCAAATCTGTTGAGATTTGATGATGTGAGGAAGAGTTCGTCCCATCTCGGTGAGGGACAAGCCTTGCTATGGGCTTATATATGGTCTTGGGCCTCTCCCCATATTGCCAATTGGTTTTATGGTGGAATCTCAATTTCATCATGGTAATAGAGCAAGTTGTCCTTGTGAAAGCCCAAGGGCCACACTACTCATGCATCACCCACTTGTTGTTCACATGTAGGCTTGAAAATCGGCCACATATGCGAGGGCGTGTTGAGATTTGATGATGTGAGGAAGAGTTTGTCCCACCTCGGTGAGGGACAAGCCTTGATATGGGTTTATATATGGTCTTGAGCTTCTTCCCATATTGTTAATTGGTTTTATGGTGGAACCCCAATTTCATCAAGATTCACCTTCGTCAACATGATTATTCAACAAAGATGCACTCCTCAACCAATTATGTGGTTGAACAGCCTAAGTGCCCAAATCAAGCACCTCCACCGTTTTGGGTGTTCAAATCTGGTGGCTTTGTCACCTTGTATGCTAAGAGATGGTGGCTCCGCCTATGTGACTTGATCTGATGACTCGTAAAAACTTCGGATCTTAGTAAGGCGGTGAAGCTACATATTGCGTTGGATAGAGTGTCATTGTCCTCCACTTTGATGAGCCGACCAGTAGTTCCCTTCTTGGAGTAGTTAGTTTTCGTGTTGTGGTTGCGCTTATGCAATGACTATATGTTTCCATCGTCATTGAGCGATAAGTTATGTGGTCTCTCATCTTCCAATGATGACTTTATGTGGTCTCGCTCGTTAGCATTGAGTGTGGTCACCCGTAAAGATTGTTGCTTCTATCATTACATTACTAATGACGTCTCCTCCGCGATGATTTTATGTGGCCTTGTTCTTTATCGATGATCGTTGTAGTCGCTAGTAAAGATTTGCTACGTCTACTGTTACTCTCAGATAGATTTATTCTGATGACATCTCCTCCACGATGACTTCATGCGACATTACTCATTAGGAATGACCAGTGTAGTTGCTGCTAAAGATATGTTGCGTCTATTGTTATTTTGCAACAAATTTATATTGATGATGTGTATATGTTTGTGCTAGTAGCCGTATAGGGTTTATTCTATTTTTTTTAATTGTGCAAATTCACTTTAGATCAATTTGTTGGTTATTAGAGCTATGTACCAAATTAGAACCGTTGTACTTATTTGTTTGGCACCGGTATACTTATTTGTATTTATACTAGCATTTGCCTACAGACTTTGTGTGTATGAACACATTATTATTTTTTTTTTTTAGAAAAATGGGAAGGAGAGAGGGAGATAGAGAACATTGGGGAAGTGGGAGGTTTTTTTTTTTTTTTTTTTTAATTTTAAATATTGGAGATATTTTAACATCACATGTATGTGAGGCTCAATAAAAAACAGTAAAATTTGAACCTGTGAAATTACATTATTGTTCATCATTTTTTTGTGTGATAGAAGATTAAATAGTCTTTTTACCCTCTTTTGATTAACAAATAGGATTTCATTAATGTAGTTTTAGATATCATTCATATCGTTTAAAAAATTAAAAATAAGAAAAAAAAACTATATAATATATCTGTTATTTCGAATCATTTGGTGTAGAAGCAGCAAAAGCCCAACAAAATACGGTTATCGATTGTGAGAGAGCTTCGCTGGTTACAGCTTCACCGTTCTACAGTTCGTACGTGCGCAGAATCACAGATTTCTGAGACACAGTATAAGAAGTAGAGACAGACACTCCACACCAAAGTCAGATTACATTTCATGTATTTTTACTGCAAGAGAAACCGCTTAGTTACCGTTTACTTTTCTCTCTGAATTTTTTCTTTAAAATCCCAACCGCTTCGTGCACTCCTCTCTCAAAAACCCCATTTCCTACTTTGTGAAGAAACATCTTGCTCTTTCCTCCATCTTCTTCTCTCTCTCTCTCTCTCTCTATCTCTCTCCCCCCCCCCTTTTCAGTGTAGCTTCTGGTACACTGAGGCTTTTCCTCAAGGGTTCTCTGCTTTTCTTTCTCTCGTTTCAAGATTCGGTTGAAATGGATCCAAAAACAATGCATGTTTTGAAGGTTTTTTTCGGAGTCATTGGTGAGTTTCTGAATTTTCCTCTCTGGTTTTTCTGATTATTTTCTAAATTGTGATTCTTTCTTACCCATTTCCTTTGAGATTTTTGCGTGTGTTTTTTAATGCTCCGTTTCTTCGTTTTTACAGGAAATGGCACTGCTCTCTTCCTCTTCTTGGCACCCACGTATGCCCTCTCTCTCTCTCTCTCTCTCTCTCTCTCTCTCTCTCTCTCTCTCTCTCTATCCCACACACACAGAGGCTTTCATTTGGGGTCTAAAGGTGATGCCTTTTTGCCTAAATTTTATTTTGTTAATTGGGTTATGGTAGTTTGATTCTCTGTACATTCTGCATGGTTCCAAAAGCAACAATCTCTCTCTCTCTCTCTCTCGCTTTTTGAGGCTAAAGATCATGTCTTTTGTGTTATAAATTTGATTTTGTTAAATGGAGTTCTGTATATCCGTTGGAGAAACGAAAAGGTTGAATGTTTACTGGGTTTCTTTAATTTTCTGTGAAATTTACTGAACTACTTTGGTTTAAAAAATGTGTAGAATTACATTTAGGAGGATCATAAGGAAAAGAAGCACAGAGCAGTTCTCTGGCATCCCCTACGTGATGACTATGCTCAACTGCCTCCTCTCCGCTTGGTATGCTGCTTTGCTTCTCTCCTTCATCTCTCTCTCTCTCTGTTAAATTTCTTGTTGCTGTTGTCTTAACAGTTGCCTTAATCACAATGCTTTTTATCACTAAAATGTGCAATTTGGTACAAAAAATGGTTGGATTTCTGTGTGAAATATATGAATCTTGATATTTGGGTTGGATGATACTGACTATTATCCTTTGTGTATTACATGTTACTATGTTATACCATGTTTTGTGTGTGACATTACAGTTTAGTGCAGTTCAATCATTGCCCACGTAATCAACTGTGTGTAATTAATTAATAACTTGGATTAATGTAATTAATGCGTGATCTGCATAATAATAGGTATGGCCTGCCATTTGTGTCCCCAAACAACATTTTAGTGTCAACAATCAATGGTACTGGTGCAGCCATTGAACTGATATATGTGTTGATCTTCATCATTTTTGCCCCAAAGAGGGAGAGGGCCAAAATTCTTGGTCTCTTCACTGCTGTACTTGCTTTGTTCTCTGCTGTGGCATTGGTCTCTCTCTTTGCCCTCCACGACAAATCCCGGAAGCTCTTCTGTGGCCTCGCTGCCACCGTGTTCTCCGTCATCATGTATAGCTCGCCGTTCTCGATTATGGTAAGTTTACTTGTATTCATTCATAACATTCATTCAATTTTATGGTTTAATAATGTGGAATTAATTGGGATTAATTATGTGTTAATTTGTGTATAATGCAGAGCACAGTGGTGAGAACTAAGAGTGTGGAGTTTATGCCATTTTTCTTGTCACTTTTCTCCTTCTTATGTGGAACTTCATGGTTCATCTTTGGCCTACTTGGCCATGATCCATTTGTTGCTGTAAGTATTTACCCTTTTGAATTTCTGTTACTTTTACCAAATACTTTAACATATGGCTGAGATGTCATGGGAAAAGTAAAAACAATTTGATATTTTTGGTACCAAATTTTCAACCCTTTGCCTTTTAACTATATATATGAGCTTTTCTGTTCAGCTTTTTTTATTTTTTATTCCCCTCACTAACCCCTTAATTGACTAAAATACAAATTAAGATGTGATTCAATTCAAATTTGAAAACTAGAACTTGTTAAACTCGAGAGAAACTTAGGTGTAACAAGACGTGCATATCTTTGTGACTATCTCTCTCCTCAGATTATCTTTTACCAATGAAAGAGACGTAGACATGTAATGTGATAAGGATACAATTGCACCTAAGATTTGATGCTTAATAAATGCTTCGTCTTACAAATAAAGTGATATGTGGCGCAGATTCCAAATGGGTTTGGGAGTGGTTTAGGGGCACTGCAGCTGCTCCTGTACTTCATATACCGTGACAACAAGGGCAAGGGCAGTGGCACCAAGAAGCCCAATGGCGCTGTAACTACTGCTGACGAATCAATGGAGATGGGCGTTGCAAAGCCCGATCAACAACCAAAGCAATCAATTACCAATAATGGCGCCCAAGATGGGCATGTCTAAGAACCCTTGTCTGCTTCCTACAATTGGGTTATTGCCACGTGGTAATGGCTATCACCAAACTTCCATTTTCCAATATCTTGTCGTTGTTCTGGTCTTGTACGTGTGGCAGCTAATGATGTTGTAATCACAATGCCACTCTAATTAGATATAAGTCCTGATGGAATCAATCATATTACTTGCCGATTTCTCTTTGTTCACTGATTAAATGTGTCTTTTCCATGTCAAATATGCGAATAATATTACGTTGGTTACCACTCTATTAGGATAAACTCTTGTTTACGTATGGTAATACTATGACACAAGCTCATGGATTTCTTGTAATTGTGATGCCGCATAAGCAGCCGTACTCAAGATCTTCTTTTTTAAAGGAGAGGATTTTACGATCAGTAATCAAAGGGGCCCATGTAGCTGGCAAAACCCTTGAACATTTAATTGTGAATGAGATTGCCGTGCAATTTGTATCATTGTATCTAATCCTAATGACATGGGAGAATTAGTTAGTCCCCCGGCGGTGGCCCCGCACCGGGGGGGGGGGGGGGGGGTGGGCGGGTGGAGGATCAATTATTAGATCTCTCAAACACATGGGGCCAAAATCTCATGTTACATTTTGCAACAGTATACTGTCGTTCGTGACGTTCTGTGTCCATATCACATGTGTCACTTAAATTGCTTTCTGTAAATATGAAAAACACCAATGAAATGAAATCACACAAGCGCGGCATTCAAGACCACTAACACCAGTCACTAGATCAAGTGAAAGAAACTCTCATACATGACTGTTTTGTCCGAAATGCCAATATTAGTTAGGTTCTCTCCTTCACACACAGACGAACTCCAACAACTTTTCTCCCGATACAGGATGGAGAAGCTTGTCGTTTCCATTCAACCACGTAGAAACGTGGTACGACGTGAATCATGTGTTAACTTAGGCAGCAATCATTAATCAACTTAATCAGAAGCCTACGACCTTGCTAGACCTTACTAGAATAATCTAAGAAAATGATCAGATACTACTTCCATGTTATTGAGCATAACCTTCATTTCTTGTCAAATTGCAATCAACTTGCTATATGGATGCCATGTCCAATCAACTTGTTACCAACTGAAGTTGAGAATTCGGATTTAAGCTGCAAGTGAGACTGCGACTTGCTCATTGTTCGTGTTTTTTCTTTTCATGTTTGTGTATTTTTAATATAATTAGATTTGGTTTTGTTTATCAAATTGGAGATTGAATTAAAATTTTCATGGAAACGATAATTGGACTTGTGAAATGATATACTACAAATATCTTGTGCACTTGCAAGTTTTACACGATTGGACTCTATTAAAATAATATATAATTGTTTCTACCGAATAGATGGGTCTGGATAGAGCGTACTAAAGGATAACAACATCAAGACATTAAGCGTGCAAGCTAGCCGAATAGTAAATGCAACAGATTAAAGGGTGAGAACCAATTCACAACGTCAAACTCCTCGGTCTGCCAAACTAAGTCGTTAAAATGAAGAATCTCAAAGTTTAACACCAGTGAGAATGAGAAGCATGAATGGACATCTAGCTTGTGATTGAAACAAAAACTTTTGAGGAAGCTGAGAAAGATATTCCATGGCAGAAAACTATGAAAAACGAAATTCAATGATAGAAAAGAATGAAACTTGGGAATAACATGTATTTGTGATACAATCATTTTTCTCCTTTATTTGATAGTAGAATCTAAGTTTTGCATAGATTCATTGTTTTGGAATTTTGCATGAAAATTACAATGCAGGTAATGTTGCCCCTCCTCATGCCATTAGAGGGAATGCAGAGGGAGAAAATGAGGCGAAGCCACAATTCTAATGGATGGTCATTGCCACCCTGAGGAACGGTACCGTATATAGCAAGAATCTGCTCAAAGTGACAATATCTTGTATGACGGAGTTTGGCAAGCTCCCACAGGTATACATAATGCTTATTCATACAAGTATTACAATTTATTTTTAATCTGAAGAAACGGCTTAATTGGGTGCATAGAGTCGAACGTGATTGATCAAGTTTGCTTTCGCTTCAATCACATGGTACTGAGAATTGCATTCCAAGTAGTCCCTATAAGTCATCTCACGATAAGAGGTGGGTTGTGCTCATCTACAAACTCTGGTTCAGGCCTGACCACTGCGTGGTCAAAAAAAGAAGGGCAAACTCATCCGTTTCACTTGGGTGTTCAAAGCCACCCGATGCACCAAGCTCTTGTACTTCCTATCGGTGAGACTCTGCCATGCATCATGAAATTAATCGAGATACAAAATTAGCAGTGGAGTTGATGAATGAAGATAAGAACTGTGCTTGCTCGCGTTCATTTGCAATTAATGAAAAATGTTTTTTGTAATCCAATTTTGTTTTTGAATGTTTATTCCATCCTATGATGTGAGATATTGAGAAAATAAAAGTCCATATTAGATAGTCCATTTTTATCTCGGATCCCTCAAATAAACTTATCCGATCTATACCGTTGTAGCGTCTTCCTTGCATTTTCATTAGTTTTTTTTTTTAAGGAAATTTTAACGAAAAGCTCCTGATACTGTTCACTTTAACGAAAAACCACATTTTTACACTAAAAAGTCAATCCTGGTACTATTCATTTTACTCTTTATTTTGTCTTTATCGTTAAAACTCAAAGTTTTCAAACCATTTTCATTAGTTTTCCTTTTATTTTAACAGTCCAAACTATTATTTTTTTGGTATTCCCTCAAAGATTATCTTTATTATAAAAAAATAAAATAAAATAAAAAATCTCAAATCGAAAACCACATGAACTTTTAATTTTATTTGTTCCAATTAGATAAATTCATCCAAGTTTCTTCAAGTATTTTTTTTTCTTCCTTTTCTTATCAGATAAAGTCATGAGATTTTCGTGGATAGTTAATTATTATTATTATTATTTGAGTAATGCTATTTATCACCACCATCATTTTTAGGAACTCGGACGCACCTCCTTATGGTCATCCACAATGACAAGAATGGAACCAGGAGGAGAATCTGCATCGAGCAACATCCCCTGGTGCTGTATCTGAACTCCCCTGCCCGCGTTTTGTGCAACGAGGACCAGTAGACTAGGATCACTATGAGGGAATCGGCCAATCTGATTCTTGGGATCCGAGAAATTGGACAGTGCTGGATAGTAATTTGGTCCCAAAATATTGTAGCCCTACTCCAACTTCATTTTCCATGTAGCATTCTTCGAGCCCAAAAGATTTTGAAATTCCTCTTAAGTAACTGGATTCCCATATCATGCATTCTCTCACTTTACTCTTGTAAGCTCCTGCTTTCGATCAAACCGGCCTTCTTGCACGTGCGTATTTTTTGAATCACGGCATGCTATGCATGACTTACATATTTTAAATGTATTTATATGCATAAATTGACAAAAGGATAGTCAAATATTTGAAGTAAATGAATAATTTTAGATCATACTAGAAGAAAATCCTCATAAACCAATTAAAGCAGCTAACGTCACATATTTGCTAGCTCATTGTGAGGTTAAGCCCACCCCTCCCCTTTAGTGTATATAATATCGTTTGTTAAAAAAAAAAAACAATCATTTGACGACTAATTTAATCACATTATTATCAGCGTGTGAATGACTTTTTTTTATAATCGGCATTAAATGTGACATCCCGTCCCGGAATTATCGGAACCGTACGTGTGAAATTACGACTTTACCCCTAGTTCGTTTTGTCACGTTGTGGATTGTTTTGGGTGGTGTGGCATGTGTTGGGCCACACACACACACACATACACTCTGAGACACTGTCACCCTCTCTCTCCCTCTGTCTCTTCACTGTCTCTCTCTCTCTCTCCCCCGAGCTCCATTCCTCCTTCTTCCCTTTGAAAACGTACGGACAAACCCACAACCCACAAAATCCTAACAGATCGTGGAAACCAGCTACACCATTGAACTCGTGAGGTCGGGGCGAGCACAGCCATACCCTTTACAGGTGAGAAATCCTTTGTTTTCACGTTGTTTCGAAAATGGCCGATTTGAGTACTGTTCATGCAAGAGTAATTTATTGAGTTTTTGGACAGTTGAAGCTCATAGTGTTGTTTGTGAGGTTCCCAGGAGCCTGGGAGTAGCTCGTTGGGCGAGTTTGGACGTCAGAATCGTGGGTGTTGGAGTTGGCCGAGTTTTGAAGATTTGGGCAGGTATAATCTTGACATTTTAGGCCTTAAAACTTGTTGGAACTTATTCTACTAGCTTTAAGGTTGATTTTGGTGCAAGAAACATGAAAAAAGGTGGAAAAATGAGTGAGATATGGCGAGTTGCAGGTTTCCGGCGACGGCGCCGGCGGGGGGGGATGGCCGGAGAAGACAAGGGAATATTCCGTTAGGATTTAACGGAATATTCCTAACAGACAGTAACGGCGTCAGTCAAGGTTAACGGAATATTCCAGGGAATATTCCTGACGGCGTCACTTGACGCCGTCAGCGTGCAGGTCACGTGGCCGCGCGTGGGGGCGCGTGGACCCGTGACTGTGCTGGCGCGTGGGGGCGCGTGACGTGTCCAAAAATTATTTTAAAAATATGGTTGTGATCGTGAGGTTGTGTAGATCACGTTGGTATATTCATTTGTCCATTTTGAGCAATGTATGAGAAGTTATTTTGAACGGACGGTTATGTGCTTTAAAATTAACGTTTTTATAGTTAATTCGCATATAGGTGACACGTATCCTGAGGACGAGCGTGCACATTCGAGGCAGGGGGGCTACGACCCTTCTACATACCAGTGAGTGGGCTTTTGTTTTCCGTATATACCTATATACATGTTATTTCCCAGAAATTAGTATAAATACCTTGTTTTACGCCGTTAATTTTATATGATTGATGACTATGCATGATTAGTGGCATATCCGTTGATTTATATATTCATTCATATGTCATATATATATATGTTGGTGTTGTGGAGGCACAGGTAAGTGCCAGGTAAGCGTTATTGAACATTTGCATTAAATAGTGATTCGAGGTGCGTAGAGAGCTCATAACCTGCACCCCCGGTGTTAGTGCTCCCGCCCAGAGTAGGGCACAGTCCTTCACGTGTTGTTCACCTCCCGCACCATACGCTCAGCTTGGATCCAAGTTAGGTGCACAGTCCTGTCGTACAGACCACTATAGGTGGTTCCGACTCGTAGGTGACCCGCGATTATTCGCACAGCCTTCACGTGAT